TAGGGTGTAGGGTTTAGCAGAGATACTGAACGCGGTTTAGTTTTCAGGATGCTGCGGGCAAGGGGATATGTAGAGTTTGCATAAAAAGGGTATGGAGGTTTTCATTATTTGTTCAGTAGCGGGTTTGTAGTGGTGAAGGGGATCTGGAGCCAGAATAGTGGAGCATCAAACGGTACAGAAAATCGAAGACAAATTGGAAGCTGGGATTCGGATTGTACAGGTATGTAGTCAGAGGAGGGGGTTCTTTACGAGATTTTTCTTCAATGATTACCTATGTTTCCCCGTATGACCCTTTTTATAACATTATTATACCCTGCTTGAAATCACTTTAGGCCCGTACATCTCGACAGATGGGAGCTTCCCCTTCTCATTTTGGGGACCCCCCAGACAAAAACAGAGAGAGAGAAAGAGAGCGAGCGAGCGATGGAGAGAGAGAGATCAAGATTATATATATATATATATATGGAAACAAGAGAAGGGGGTGAGAGAGAGAGAGATACATATATATATATATATGGAAAGCAAGAGAAAGGGGTAGACGGAGACAGCAGCGAGTACTCCTTATTTAACCATATTTCTTTGCGGGAGTACTGGCAAGACAGAGACACAAGCATGCCTAGGATTTTTTGCTCGAAGACTAGCATGTTTTCTCATCTCCTCGGTGAGTTCTGCTGACTCACTGTCTTAGACATCTGTTCCGTGAGGCAGAAGCAGCAGATTCAGGATCAGGCGAAGGTTATCGAAGACCTGCAGCATCAGCTGGAACGCCAGAAGGCAGGAATGGAGTGATCATTACTGACGAAGGTCCCGTGTTTCTGCTTACCATTCTCCTGGTATTTTCACATGTTCAACTATGTAAAGCCAGCTATGCTGCCGTATGTGTGCGCTGAGCATCTAGGCACTGTACGTAGGACTTGCAAAGTTGGGAGAGTCAAGTAGGCATGGGGTTTGGTACTAAATGTAGGATAGTGGTGTAGACTGAGCATTCTTCCCATGCATAAGGTGGATCGTGCTCCCTCCGTATTTATCATGCGAAAGTCTGTCAAAGAAAAGACAGGCACTTCGTGACAACCTCATATACGCTCTTGGTTATGGGGGCTTAGTCCTACAGTGTGAAGTGGTTCAAGTACGCTGTAACTCTTCGAACCTGGCTGCGGGGCATTCACAAGCCGCCAGGTTGCCATTGCCCGCTCCCTGTTGCACCCTGAACCATGTTCGAAATTCCTAAGCTTTACTCTGAGGCCCCAAATGGCCCAATGCAGGTCACATCGAGAGACTTTGCAGCCCAATGAAGGTATCACTAACAGACATGGAGCCCTAGGGCTTTTCAATCGAAAGCCCTACATTATTAGGGGAGTACTAAAGGGGTTATGAAGGAGGATATTGGAAGTATAGACTATAGGTCATGTTATCAAGAAGTAAGCACCAAACCATAAACCCTAAGCACCAAATCCCCTTGAAGAGGGTTTTATAGGGGAGTATTATAGGGTTTTTAAAGGGGGATACTCAAAGTATGGACTACGGATCATGTTATCGAAAAGTAAACCCTAAACCCTGCGCAACCCTGTATAAGCCTTACAAACCCAATATAGCCCTTATATAACCTCTCAACCCTTTTTTAAAGTACCCAGACCTAGTAAAGCCTCACCGCAGGAGCGCCTTTGGCGCGTTACCAGCGAGCCGCAGATTCGCTACTCCACGCGCAAGGCTCATGCTTGCGGGACTATATGTATACATATGTATATATATATATATATGTATAGCTGTATGTACCTGCATCTATATATGAACACATGTATAAACAGAGATATATGTACCCATGTATATATATATATATGAAGTATATCTCTATATATATATATAGAAATATCTATATATCTTATACATAGAGGTAATGTAGGGTTCTATAGGGGTTATAGAGGTATGATGGAAAGTTTCGTGAGCTGTCTACCCAGCTAGGGTATGTTGGCATCTCGGGGTGTGGGAAGCTGGGCTTCAGTTCAGCTTCGCAAGGTGTAAACCTTGACATGGACACCTGGAAAATGCCAGCAATATTTAGCTTCCCAACAGATGCCCTCAGGGAGGGATTTCAAGCCCATTAATTATATATATGCACACATGCATATACATATATATACATATACATACCAGGGATCCCATCCAAGGATTCTACAGGGGTATTTTGCGCAACTCCCTTTCAGAAAGCACTTTAAAGCCCCAAGGGTTCATGTAGCCTTATGGCAAAAGCTTGGGCCTCAGAGTAGTCATAATATGGAAATCTCCCTGCTTCCTAAGAGGCTATTACATACCTAACCTAAACCCTGAACCCTAAACCCAATAGCTTTTAAACCTAATAACCCTCAACCCCAGGGAAGCCTGCGCACCCGTACATGCTACAAACAGTTACACCCGCGTGCAGGCCCTTGACTCTTCCTTGTGCGTGTGTGTTTGCAGCTGCGGCGGTGAGTAAGAGGGTGTGGGCCGCAGCTTGATCTTGCTCCTTGATCAGAAAAGCCCGCCCTCCCGCCCTTTGTAGGTTAGATCTGGCTGTCCAAGCACCCTTTGCCATATTGCGCGACTCTGTGCGAAGGGGTGTGTGCCTCCCCCCCATGGTCAGCTGCCGCTGCAGCTGGCCTCGGGGGTTGAAATATGTGTGTGCTGTCCATCAAAAAACATGCGTGTGAGTGTGTTAAACCCTACATATATATATATATATATTTATGTGTGTATACACACACACATATATATATGTATACATACATACATGCATACATACATACATACATACATACATACATACATACCTATACGGAAAATTTGGATCTTTGGGAAGAGCAGGCTTCGGAGCTTTCCAGCGAGACGAAGCGGCCGGAGCAGGCTCCCTTCGTGTCCAGGCCCACGAGATCGAGGGTTACAGGGTTTGGGGTTATAGGGTTTAGGTTATAGGGGTTATAGGGTTTAGGGTTATAGGGTCTAGGGTTATAGGGTTTTGGGTTTGTATTTTTTTGATGTTTTAGGGTTGTAGGATGTAGGGTTATAGGGTTTAGGGGTTATAGGGATTAGGCTGAGGGTTTAGGGTTGTAGGGTGTATTGTTCTAGGGTTATAGCGTTTAGGGATAGGGTTTGTGGTTTCCTGGAGGCAAAAGGGATAGGGCTTAGGGTTACAGGGTTTCGGTTTCGCGTTCAAGTTTTAGAGTTTGGTGTTTGCGGTTACGCGGCCCCAAGCATGGAAGCCCCAAAAGGGTTTTGTAACCAGGAAATATATACATAAATAATTATAATATATATATATAGAGAGATATAAGGGTGCAAAGGGTTTAAGGTATATACTTTCAGAATCATTAAAGCTCGAAAGGGGGCATAGACTACTGTCCTTTAGAAGGTGGACCGCACCAGCTTCCATGTTTACTTTGGAGAGGGTACCTAATGTAGAAGCATGAACACTAGCCAACATTACTCCCTAACACTCCTTGCATAACTACAGCATACTAATTATGTCTGAAAGCCTAGTTCCGCTAGTGTAGGCTCTACACTACTTGGAGGGCCAGGGGGACTTAGTAACTAGGTTAATAATGTGGATAGTTGGGGTTGCTTCATGGCTTATAGGGGTTATTAATCTACTTACTAAGTCCCCCTGACCCTCCAAGTAGTTGCCTAAGAAACACCCCAAAATAGGAATAATGGAAAAGAAAATGGAAACTACAGAGATTATAGGGTTACAGTATGATATTTAGGGCTTCGGCTTGTTAATTTCTTTTTTTTAGGCGAGCTAGGGCCTGCAGTGCTCAGATAGTCTGGTCTCAGGGGGTTAGGGATTCATGTGACGGTGAAGGTTTAGGGTTTCGGCTGTGAAGGAGATATTTTGCATGAGCCATGCTTTCATCTACTCCAGCAAGGATATATGCAAGGGATTCTGCTCGGATTTTATGCGCTTCTCGTCGAGTGCTTCCCAGGGTTTGACAAGGGTTTGGGGGTGTAATGAAGGGGGTCGAGGCTTAGGACACTGCTGGCGCAGGTATTGACTGAAGTGGGTACGACTCAAGCAGTGGAGGGTTGAGGGTCCCAGCTCTATGGAGCATTGAGGCAAGGCGAGGAACAAGCACCTAGTGAGAGTTTGGAATCTGAAGTCTACATCTTCAATCCACAAGCCTCAACCTGCAGCCCTAAAGCTTGAGCTTCCCCAACATGATCGGCTCTCTTCGCTATGAGGTCCAGGACAGCAAGAATGTATCGTGCGCATTGCTGGTTTCCAGTAACCTGAATGCTTCTGTACAACTAGGAGAGAGCCAGCGGTATGTGGGCGAAGCAGTAGCAATTCCACTGTACTCCAATTGGCATGGGTAGGGTGCTGTCTTGGAGAAATGTATTGGAGCCAAAAACTCGAGCTGCTAGGATCGCTGGGAGCTACATGGTGGGAGGGATAGGGCCTTAAGCTTCCTGCTTACCGTTGAGGACAAGTTGCTTGGGGCCCGCATGCTTGGCCGCAGATCAACCTGAAGTCATCCTGAGGGTATCCCTAAAGTCACCCCTTTGTTCAAGCGATATGTCTATGCCAAAGAAGCCCTAAAGCAAGCCCTGATCATTCACAGGATGACCCATACACCGAACTTGACCAGCAGCGCTGGCAGTCTGACCAAAAACCCCGAGCATCTCCATTTTTTCCGGACTGGTGTCGCAACGCCAAGAGACCATTCAGCTACCACAATGAGGCTGAATCGCTTGTGAGCAAACTTGTTTTTTGCTCTGTTATGTTGCGTTGCCCTCTTGGCTCAGGGTGCTTCAGTAGCGCCTGGTATATACAGAGCCAGACTGAACACAGCGTCTGCCAGCCCCAGTCCCTAGTATCTTGGCGTGGTCGCACTGCCACCAGTATCACCAAAATTGTGATGTAGACTGAAAATCTCAAAGCAGTTTGTCATCAGGAACAGATCTCTTCAGAAAGAAAAACTATTTTGTGACCTGAAGGTCCAGAACCAGGGTGAACCATCCCTGCCAGCAGCATGGTGAAGCGTCATGTGAAGAACGGGAAGTGCAAAGGTGCCCGGAAGTTCAACGGGCCTAAGTGCCTGGGCCGCCCAAGGAGTCACAACCCATTAATTCCCTCCCCCTAATATTAAGCCCCCCACTCCCCCCCATATTGAATACTCCCAGCATATTTTGGGGTAATATTAGGGGATTGGTTTGTCTTGCCATGTGACGGGATCTTCAGGCACCAATATTGGTATTGTAGCTTCGAACCTCTGCAGGCATAGTGTAGGACTATCGGGGCCTGAATCAGTGGAACAGCGCGTCGGAGCTAGTACTCAGGCTCCGTTTACCCAAATTTCAGATCCCCATGAAAATTTACGCTTGGGAAGTCGCCCACAGAGTGGTACTTCGCGGTTTAAAGGTGCTGACTAGATAAATCTAATGCCCCAGTCCTTGAACAAGCTCCTATATGGCTTTCTTCGGAGTTGGGATGCTGGAGATAAGCCTTGAGGTCTTGGGGGTTTCGTAGCAGAATAGTTTTTAGGTGACTTTCGCGCGAGGGGTTGGGGTTCATGTTTTCCTAATCAAAGAAGGGCTGCGAGATTGGGGGCTTGGGACTTACGGCATGCGCATACTAGAAACAGCAGAGAGTGTCTCAACGGTTTGGGGGTGGTCAAGCCTAGAGAGTCTTCAAGGAGTTCTAGTTGGCTAAAAACAGTGCTCAGGTACAAGGGGACAGTGAAGAAGGTCATCAACAACCTCCCGAAGTACAGCACTATGTCCATAGATGACGCTCGTCGGCATCCTGCAGCCCTAACAAGCAGAAGTAGTTCTCTACAAGCCCAGACGCTTTTTGGGGTGCCACGCATAGCGCACAACCGCTAGATATGTAGCCGCAGCAAGCATCATGAAGCCGGTCATCGCGAATTCAAACTAGTTACACAGCTTGCCCGAAGACCCAGACCGTACCCCTTTTTCAGCATCTTTTCTCAGGCATCTCAGGCTTAAGTTTACAGGCATAGGCGGTCAGGTACCTAAAAAGGGCTGTGAACCTGTGAGGTACCTTAAAAAGGGCTGAACCTCCGGATAACTGCGTCAACTTCACGTCAGGAGAAGCCCAAGAAAAAGAAGGGAGCCAATAAGCCGCAAGGCATGGACATCTCCGACCCTTGGACAGTTGCAGTATACCTTTAATCCAATTTCATAGTTGTGGTGGTCAAGTTGGTTGTAGTGGTACTAGTGACTAGTACACGTACTGTACAAGTTGTATCAGTTGCAACAAGCAGGGGCAGCGTTGTGGTAGACCCCATCAGGCATTGCAGCATGCTTGCAGAGTCTCGTGAGCCCCATGCCCCATGACACCAATGAATGCCCTCATGAGACTTGACTCCATGCCGACACCCTCTGGGCCAGCAAGGAACCGAAGGCGCCAAAGCTTAGCAAGGCGCAGAAAAGAGAGAAGAGGCCAGGCTCTCCCAATAGGTCCATGTAGCTATAGTAAATATTTGCGCCCCACAGTAGTTATTCAGGAGTTTCGTTGAGCCCTCAGTATATACTATTGTACCAGTTACCCATGTGGGCCGTTTGAGTAGGACACTTGGGTGCTCCATCTTTGGGGTCGGAGTGTGGGATAAGCTTCCGCTGTGGTAGGCTAGGAGCCTGATTTTGAGATTCCATCTAGATTCAGACTGGCAATGACAACGTAGTAGCACTTGGGAGTTGGTTTGCACGTAGATAGAAAGCTATGAAGTCCTGGGGTTACTTTGCCCGACCAAAAAGGTTAAAGCCCATGTAACCTCGTTTTCCTCAAAGGGACAGTGGACTTGGTGGGCTCTTGGATTATAGGACTTCTTTCAGGGCCTTGGTCTTGCGACAACATTCGAAATAGGCCATGTTATGCAGAGGGTTCATGAAAGGAGGTAGGTCGTAGCAACCCCATACTTGAATCTAAAATTTAGATCTAGATTTTGAAGCTCTCGCATGCAGTGCAGGAAGCAGGCCGTCAGCCTGGGCAAAGTTGGGAAGACCTCGCCCAAGGCAATGCCGGCACCTTCGCCTGCACTGAAGGCGGCTTCATGAGGGTGGCTTATGATGCACATCTATTGCCGCACAGGGTTGCGCGCAACCACATGAGTAAGCCCAAGTCAGCTTATCGCCCTGGGCGCATGTTCTATCGCTCCTAAAGCGGTCAGCATTATGAGCATCAGCTGGGCAGCGCGCCTTTTCTCACCACCCCAAAAAAGCCAGCATCATTTTCATCGGCCTCGAAGCGCAGGTATTGTGAGCATGAGCTGCACGCACCCGTTAGTTAGCGGCTCAAAACCCCACACAGCCAACATCATGAGGGGACGCCCCTTTTCGTCATGGCGCCATAAGAGGTCAGGATCCTGAGCATCATGTGGAAACACCCTGTCTCACTGCCCAGCAGCTGGAGGCGCCTGTTTAACCGGCCCTAACTCGGCCAGCATCATAAGCATCGCTCCGAAAACCAGGCCGGCATCATGAGCGTCAGCTAGACCGCACCTTTTCCAAAGAGGCTAGCGTCATATGCATCAGCTGGACTCCTGTTTGTATTATCCCCCAACAGCCACCATCATGAGCATCAGCTGGCGCCCGGTTTCTTATCGCTCCCAGGACCTAGCGTCAAGTCTTCAAGTTTTGTAGGCTCTTACCGTCATCTAATCACTATTTCCAGCTTAGAGTCAGATGTTCCACAAACCATGCGTTTCTGCCACGCTGTTGATAAGGCGTCGTCACCTAAGCTGAAGCCGGCGGAAGATACCAACATGAAAGTCGAAGTGGATGCTCCGGCTTATTTAAGAAGCATGTGGAGTTACGTAGGTTGTCGATGTTAGCAATGTTAAGTCTGGAGACGTCTGTAACCTGATGGAGCGCACCCCAGATAATGGCTGCCATTTTAGTGCACGCGGGACCTCACGGGATTTCGGTTGCCTTTTCAAGATATCTCACAGAGCTAACCTGGCAGAGAGTCGTCAGTAGGTAACACAGCCATAGGCAGGAAAATGCCCTTCCACAAAAACCTATTACCTCACTTCAAAAGCCCATGGCCCAGCTAAGGAGAAGTCTAAGAAGCAGCGAAGAAAGGAGCAGCGAAGAGCCATCCAAGTCCAGAAGACCCAGCTGCTTCTGAGCCGCAATTCCTTGAGGTTTTAGCTATGGCCGGTTTGGATTGAAGGGTTCTTATTATGATTATAATTGGTACGATAGTTACTATTACGACGACGACGACGACGACGACGACGACGACGACGACGACGACTACTACTACTACTACTACTCCCGTCGTTACTTCTCTTTGGAACCCCAATGTAGACCCCCAAATACTATAGTCCTTATTGTAGGGACCCTCAAAAAGGTACCCCTAATTTTCGGAAACCTTCATTTATTACCTAGCTTCTTTCAGGTTCATTTTTCATCGTCCGTGGTAGCTTGGGGAAAGAGGCCCACTGAGGGCCCATGAGCGAGCCTCTTAACCCATAACCTTAATTCCATAAGGGGGAGTTATAGAAGGGATTACATAGGGGGATACGAGGAGTTTAGATCATAGCTCTCATAACCCCCTCCCAGTCTTATTTGATGGGGCTTGGTAAAGCCTCTTGAGTCCCGAGTTTGTGGCGCTCTCTCCCATGAGGTTGATTCGTGTCGAGGGTTTTTTCATGTAGAGGTTAGGTGATAAGCAGTGTTGCAGGAGTATTCTTCAATGCTATGGCTATTCAGCGCCCGCAGCAAGCCTGCGAATAGCCAGAAACCTTTTGCAACACAAGGAACCACCAAAGCAGATTACTGAAAAGGCTGGGCTTGAGGGACAGGCCCAGGTACCAGTAGATAATCCCTCTGAGTCAACCGTGGTTATTCCTAAGCCTGAAATCCTAAACTGCCAGCTGTGGAACCATGCCTCTCCTGGCTGTGTTGAAGGCCCGGAGCTTTTGGAATGATATTTGGCGCCTCAGGTTTTCTACATACATCAAGTGTGCATCTTGTGGGTGTTTGCCGGGTTGCTCATGCATAGGGCTCACCAAGAAGCATTGGATGATGACTGTTGTGGCTGTCTATTATTGCTGCGTCGTTGTGATTCTACTCTGGCTATTTACCTCACTAAGCTGCTTTCATCTTGTTATGTCGTGATTGTCAGTCCCAGCATTCTGTTCTCAATGCACTTCGTGATTGTCAGTCCCAGCATTCGGTTCTCAATGCACTTGGCTCTGGCCCCCAAGGAAGAAGAAAGGGCAAACGGCCCATCTGAAAAGCACCAACTGAGTCAGCCAGAGCGCGGCATGAGTCATAATGGTTCCAGGCAGCAGAATTCTGCCATGAATGCACTATTTAACCTGTACAATGGTTGTGCCGCACCATATCGCAAACAACGAGCTTGGACTGTCCTGCTACCGTCAAGCAAGGTCTACAAACGCATTCCTGCACAGAGGTTAAACCTCTGGCAAGCCGGGAATGCACAGACAGTGTCCAGCACTCTAAAAAAGAGCAACCAAAGGGCATTGCAGGTGATGATCCAAGCTCCTAGGACCTTCCAGTAGAGGATCCAATAGGCCCCATGATCAATTACAACATGACCCCTTTGTTCGGTGTTCTTGCACTGGACATCCCTACGCATGGCCTCCGAATATATAAGTGACCGTTTCTGTGCTTTGGCGTTCCTTGTTTTTCATTGGTTCTGGCTGAGACTTAAGCTCGAATCCATACAACATATACAGCTATTGAAGCGTCGGTTTCCATGTTAAACACCAAGAGAAGCAGCGGCATTTCCTTCCAGATGCCGGAATGTTTCTTGCAATTTGTGGCACGGGGATTCTTACCGCTGAATTTCTGCATTTCTCTTTCAAACAAGTCGGAAACAGCAGCTATCTCGCAAACTCTGCTGGAGATAAGTCACTTGCCGTAAGTGGTTGCACAGGCGTTTCAGCCTCAGCAGGAAAGAAGCGACCTCCAGCTTCAACGTACGGCATGTATTTTCATAATAACTTCAAAGAGAACCAAACTGCTCAGTTGCAAGTGCTGAAAACTGTGGCCTAACGGAGCACAAGCAAATCAAAGCCTATTTAACGCGCTAAACCCGAATCGTCTAATCCCTACTTCCCTAAACTCTGATCCCCAAGCACCATCTCTAACCCTGACACTTAAGCCCCTAAACATCCCGAAGCCTTATTTCCCCAACAGCTTTTTGGATTCTTCTTCCCGAATAGGTTGTGGTGCAGATAGGAGCAACGCTTGGGGTGAATCCCGGAGTGGGGTGAGGGGCAGGTTCTGTTGCTGTTGGGGATACCTACTGGGATTATGGTATAACCCTACATATCCCTGTATGAGTTCTAGTCTAAACTAAACTCCGTAAAGGGGTGATATAGGGAAGTATTATAGGCTACATTAAGGGGGACACTCGGAGTTGAGACTTTAGCTCACCATGTAAACCCGTATGTTTAGACGTGTACATTATGAATGCGGTCTCTCTTCAGGATTATTGGAAAAGCTCATTTTGTTGGCCAGGCACGAATCCAGCGGGCGAGCAAGGGGATCGAGATCCAGGACACGTCCTTATGGAGCTTCCAGAATTCGGGGAGGATCTAAGAAAACGGATCCCTTGTATCAAACCATTGCTACCCGCACCATAAACTAACAGTAAGCTTCCCTTAACTTGGAACCAAAGTCGTGAAGTCCGCAGCTCGGGGTTATCATTTGAGTGTTATATCTAATCATAAACCCCCCTATAATTTAATAAGTCCAAGAGCCTCTCGCTTCGAAGGAACATGGCTACGCTTACCTTGCTCCTACCCGCGCGGACCCCCTCAACGGGAACCTCCACGCCTGCCGCGCCTCGGCTTCATCTAAACTTCTTAAAAGGGGTTATATGGGGGATTATATGAGGGTTTCCCATACTTAGGGGTACCATTTTGGGGGTCCCAATAATAAGGACTATTGTATTTTGGGGTCTACCTTGGGGTTCCCTTATTTAGGGAAACTACCATATAGGGGACTATAATTGAGGTTATTAAGGGGGATACTAGGAGTTTAGACTATAGCTCATCTTGTACCTAAATGACACCTTAAATGCTTACGTATACCTGAACCCAACCTAGGCTCATGATTTTTGCTAGTACCTCTATATGAGCAAGCATCTACACGGTAGCCTCTTGTGGCAGTACTGCAGGAGGAAATGAGTGCAAAGAGCTGAGGAGGCGATACCTAATCCCAAAAGAGGTCCCTTATCTTATTTCCGCCCCAGGGCCTGTAGGGAGATGCGGTTTATAAAGCCAAGTGTAATTGGCACAGAGGGGTTGTCTGGTTTAACTGGGAATTTCTGGAAATGTAGTGCTCCAAGGAACCAGGGCGATGTCGAGGGTCTGTAATGAAAGTATAAATATAAGGAATCCCCCAGCATGATTACAGTAGGAGCTTCCTGGATAAGCTCGCAGTGCCACCTGGGCCTTGCTTCCTATCACTGCCAAGTGTATGAGCCTGAAGTGGGACTTCTGAGCGTCAGCGTAGTAGCTGTCCAGCTCTCAATACGTCTTTAAAGCTTGCAGACCCCAAGTAACATATGACCAAGTTCTAGCTTTGCCTAGAGCCTTTATCCTTCCCCCTGAAACGCTACAGCCAAAAAAGTGCTCAACTTCTGACAGCATTACAGCCCTTAGAAAGCTTGAAGCTTTAACAAACTTAAAGCCCACAACATGCCACCGTAATTCTAGTAGTTTCCATTTTCTTTTCCATTATCCCCATATAACCCCTATATAAACCCTATATAAACCCTATAATCCCTGTAGTTTCCATTCTCTTTTCCATTATCCTAATATGAGCAATCCTCAAGGCTTCCAGCTGCAGCGGAGCGTCGTCAAAGCCTTCCCTGTCTGGCAAGTCCGGGCTGGGTTTCTGACCCCCGGAAAAAGAGATGTGGCCTTTAAAGGCCGTGATGAGAAGAATGATAGAGTGAATAATCAGAGGACTGCGCTATCATGATTTTACAGTTTAGGGTTCAGAGTTTAGGGCCTAGGGGTTTCTGGGCTAACTTGATAAAG